CTCTGCGCGGAGTCCGCTCTTCTTATTTTGTCACGCCACTTCTCCCGATTGAATGCTTGATCGGGATGGGTGCCAACTATCTTCAAGTCCGCATGCAACGTGTCTAGTCAGCGCTGCTTGGGACATCCTTTAGGCCGCGGAGCTCAAGAACAGTCCTACAGACGGTGTCAAAATTCGCGCGATCCGCGCGTAGTACATGACCATACCATCGAAGGCGAGCTTCGCGCATTTTCTCGGCCACAGGAGCTACACCGAATCTCTTCCTTATGTCGTCATTGCGTATGCGATCCATACGCGTGACACCGGCGTCCAGCGCAACATTTTCATCTCCATCACTCTGAGGCGAGCTTCAACTTCTTTGGTCGTAGACCAGCATTGAGCAGTGTATATCGCAACAGGTAGGAGGAAGGTTGTATAGATGCTTGACATGAGGCGCTCGTTGTCGTCTTGTCACAGAGAATGAGGGCACATCGTTGTTGGGGAGTCCTCAACAGGGGGGGTCGTATTTGGTCGCCAGGAGGGGGTCGTATTTGGGCTGGGAAAAATTTATTTTGATAGTTGATTTTTCTCGCTTCACGGACGTTGTAAAGGGGGGGGGTCGTACTTGGTCATTGTTGGGAGGGGGGGTCGTATTTACGTTTTGGCGTTGTAGGAGTGGTGGTTGACTTTCGGTGATTTTCCTGTTCCATGCGTACTACATTATGCTCGACAGCAAAATTTTTGGGGAAAGTAGGGAACCTTTCGGGAAATTTTGGAAAAAAGTGGCAGGGAGCTGGGGAAAATCTGTAAATTGGTAGAAGAGGGTCATATTGTAGACTTAATTGCTGATCTGAGATATTTAAACGATGTCGTACGCGTTAGCACACTGTCATTGACCCTAAGGGAGCCTGACTAGTTTGAACCAGTCTTCAGGTACTCGGTGACGTTCAATCTGGGTCCGAATTTCGGCAACCGCTTGGTCCAAACTTGCACTTGTTTTTCGAGACCATTCTTATCCTTGTACGCACATCGTCAGCGTGCAGAAGCGTCCAAGGAGCCGGCTTCTGAAGGTCCCGTGAAATGGCATTCATGACGACAACGAAGAGCAGCGGGGAAAGCGCTGAGCCTTGGTGCACCCCAACTGTGATGGGGAACCCCATCGAAATGCCTGCTGGACTTCGCACTCGACTCGTCGGGCTGGAGTACAGGATGCGTACCCACTCAATCAGCTCTTCGGGAACGCCGTGCTGCCGTAAGGCATACCATATAACTTCACGTGGGACACGGTCGAATGCCTTCTCCAGATCAAGGAAGGCTAGGTGGACATGCTTCTTCTTCTCACGATGTTTCTCCAGCAAGAGGCGAGCGGCATGTATGGCGTCGATGGTGCTACAGCCAGTCACGAAGCCACACTGGTTGGTAGAGAGCTAAACGATGCCACGAAAACGCTTACTAACAATTCGCCCAAAAATTTTTATGCTCTTTGCAGAACTGCCTTTTTTCTTCCAGATCGGAACTATTACGTCGTGCTCTTTTGCCATACTTCGGCTGCCTCTGCCAATTCACATGAGCGTCCGGTTAAGGTTCCAACCTTTAACGTTGCTATACGAACTTTACACGCGAAATTGCGACACTTTCGGACTAGCTTAGTTGCCCCCCCCCCCGATGCCGTCCTTGCATCGAGGACCCTCGCATACTTTCCACACTCGTCGGGCCTTGCGAGTGCGCGTCGGCTCCCGCGGACGCCGTAGCATTATCTTGGAATCATATGGCATGATTAAACATGTTCATGTGGCATGGGTGTTCGTAAGCCGGCTCGTCACGAACTGTCACTTGCATTGGAATGTGCGCGGTGGGCTCAGCTCGCAGATACGAGCAGTTCCCAGTGGCACCACGTGGTGGAGCGGACGTCATCACTATGAAGCGGCTACGATACTTATTGTCCGGATATGTGATTGCAGGAATGCAGCCGTATTTCCCGGAGCAGTTGTTGGCACGATACCAACGGGGAATCAGGGTGAAGCGTCATCAAGGGAAGCAAAGTCAGCAAGGAAAGGTGGCTTGTCGATACGACCCTTCAGTAAAAAAGGCGTCCATACACCCCTTCACCCGCCGCCCGTGAGAAAAGTTTCTATACACCTCCCTTCTCTGCAACTACTCTTCACGAACGTTTCAGAAACCAGCTGAAACCCATTCGGAGAGCAATACTTGTCCGCTACTCAAATACTTATAAATTGTTAGTATACGGCAACAGGAGACACACATTATCCGAGTAATTTAACGATACATCCGACTCCGAGAGTATGACATTGAAACATGCACACCGAATGGAAATTGGCTACCCTTCACTTACCAGAAAGTTAAAGTGGATGTTTTGCCGAACTAGAAAGTTCTCCTCTTCTATGAACCTCACCACTGGCATCTAACGGAGTGCTTGTGCCTGCTTGTGAAAAGACTCGGCTATGGTTGTACAGATCCACATTCTCCCATTAGTGTCATAGTTCCCTGCAAGAGCCATATAACCAGTTGCGTGCAAGCAAACCGAAAGTTCCCTAGACTTCTCATAGGCCTCACGATAATGATTCAGACGGTCTCCGTAACACATGCACCTGCAAAGAATGCTTGGACTTTTCTATACATCTCCTTGTCGCAGCTTACCTCCGAGTTAAAGGCAGCGTCCGCGTTCAGTTGAGATTTTCCTCTCCCTTCGTGAGCAGGTAGTCAGGTCCGCTGAGGCAACAACTACACCACTTTCGCGGCGCAAAAACGCGTGAGGAGAGCCACGATGCCGTCGTTCTTATCATTGACCCAACCTACAATCATTGGCACCGCCCACCATTCATTTCTAATGGTTACCTGATGGTGCGGTTGTTTCGCTGCTGCTTCTCTCCACGTCGAGTGGTGAGAGTGAGGTGATAAGGGAAAACAGCTGATATCAACAAGTGAGAACTCGTGCGACCGCACCTTCTCTTCGCCTTGAGCACGTACAACCTCAGTTAAGCAAGGGGTTCTATATAGAGCCTTTCCTATGATTTCTTTCTGATTTTCTTTACTAAGGGGTTACTTGCTACCTTGTTATAAGTATTTGAGCCGCATAACTCATCAAATTTGAATGCGGGCTCAGCCTTTGAGGCGAAGAGAAGGAGAGGTTGCACTTGTTTATTTCAGCTGTTTCCCTTATCACCTCACTCTCACCACACGACGTGGAGAGAAGCAGCAATGGAACGAGTAATGCAGGAGGGACACAGGCATGGGCGGATACGGGGCTGTTTTCAACGTTCGTTTTGCTCACGTTCACTTGATGTTCCTACGCCCTTTCTGGATATCATAGCCCTCCCCATAAGGATGCAGTATGTACTAGTTTTGCATCTCAAAAGGCGAGAGGATAGCGCCTATCGCTAGTAAAGAGTCGACCGCCCCGCCCACCTGGCGACCACGACGCCCAACTTCATTTCTAATGGTTGCCTGAGGGTGCGGTTGTTCCATTGGAGTAATACAAGAGGGACACAGGCATGGGCTGCTGCGACGCACTTACACCACTTGCGCCTTCTTTGCCTACCGTACTCCCCACGTAGCTCACGCCTAATTTTAATGGCTTTCTAAGTATTTTTCGTTCACAGTTCGCTTCGTTTCGCCATTTTATGATTTTCTTTTGCTTTTTTCACGTTTCACAACTCCCTCTCTATCTTGTGAAGAATTTTTTCTTCACCGCTTTTTCATAAACTCTAATTTCTGATTTTGCGTGGTTTTTGTCACTCATTTTTTGCTTCTCTCGTTTCGTTCGTGCTTTTTCGCTTATACGTACTACTATTTCTAAAAATCTTTTATTTTGTTTTCTAGCAACTACTCTCATAAGCCACAAATCCCCTGGCGTTGGAGGAGAACATAGCCACGAGGTGGCACACCCGGAACACTCGAATGGAGCTCAACCAGGTACGTTTCCTACACAGTTTGCTTCAGCTTGCATTTCTTATGTCGTTTCCTTTCAGTTTTTTATGCACTTGTTCTTATGCGCTTTCTTTGTGATCACTATTCCTTTTTTCTCAGTCTCTGATGACCGCAGCCGCGCGACACCATCAGGCGCAGGCGCTCGCTCGCTCAGTCTCATGCAGCACACGAAGACATCCCAATTACCATTCCCGATTAGGACTATTATATCTGCATTGTTATTTAGATTTTTTGAATTAGGTATAAAAGACCATTTTGAATGATCTCCATGTTCAGTTCACTGTTCATTAACAAAAGTGGAATTCAAAGGAAGTAACAAAATATATAGCTTAACATAGCAGCTTAAAACAACCGCACACATGTTCAATAACCTCAACAACTCAACTCTATTCCTCGCCTAAAACACGGACGAGCACATCAGCACCCGATATATGACTGTGAAACAGACGACAAGAGACTTATTTTATGTGATCGTGCCATATTAAGGCTACCATGTGAATTCAGGGTACAGCAGAGCTAAAAGTGCTCCAACGGGCCGAAGCTGGTGCCGGGATGTTGTAGAATTCGCCCACGAGGGAAAGGGCACGTACCAAAAGAGGATCTTTGGAAGGGTAGGGGGTACCGTCATGCTTACACATCATGATGCTGTATTATTTCTGTGTTTGTATAAGTTAGACTTGCTATCGATCGGATTAGTTTTAGACATATTGACAAACTGCCATCGAAGTCGCGTGAGTTCGGCTAATCGAGTTCTCCTTCAGAATTAACATCGCTTATAATGGAAACATAACAGGACCAAAATTGGAATCTTCATAGAAAAGGGAAGCATCAATTAAAGCACAATAACGTTTATGTGAAATGACTAAAAAACCTAGATCGCAGTGGGATCACCACAATCAAATTGCCAAACTCCAATATTGCATATGCTGCAGATCCGAAATCTTCCCTCTGTACACTCGATGTGGCCCAAGCTCTGCATTGGGCATTAGGACATCCATACCATTGACCGGGTTTTCGAGGGAGACCGGGTTCGGTGGTTGCCTTCTACCGCAGACGAAGCATAAATCAGAGAATCACGGGGCGTGTTCCAAATTGATCCATATCAGAGCGGTTTTCATTTGAACTCGTCTTATCACCTCTTTTGTCAGCGAGTACTCGTCTCTCTGAAAAGGGAACATTGGACTAGCGGTATTATTGGAGTGCATATAGAGAACGAAGCACGTACGCTTTTGTAGGTCACAACTGATTTGGCTTTAGGCGTAACTCCTTGCGTCTAGACTGCACTTCTTCACGCCGGGCCTTCACACTGAATTCCGGTCATTGACGACACACGCTGTACCACTTCCTCTATGGCAAGCCTCAGTTCTTTAAGCGCATCTATGTGTCCTTTTTCTAGGCAACGACGTGCAATTTCGTCGAAGTGTGACTCCGCCTAAATGACACAGCAAACCAGTTAAGTAATCAGTACGGCTAGTGGTGTTATAAAGGATTACTCCTTTGAGCTTCTAGTATTCTGTGTTTGCCTCATCTTATCTTAAGACAAGTTGTGGTACATCCACCTCCTGTGAGCTTGGCGTTGATGTAACGTCCACATCGATTGGGAACGATTGAGCTATATCCTGCTCAAGTTCCACTGATGTTTGCGTAGGGTGTTCTTGACTCGATGACGCAGCGTAAGGATGTTCAGCAGACGGGAGTAGTTGGCGCGCAAAAATGATCCAGTTACGAATTTTTTACGGGTTAATTTTTTACCCACCTTCAGGCGCAAATGTCGCCACCGCGTGACAGTGGATACACGACACTCCTGCATTCAAAGAGTCCGGACAATCGCATGTTACTTGATAATAATATATTCCACATCGATCGCAGTGGGAATTATCCTGAAGTGTCCCTCAGTAGTGGATACCTATGCAAAACAGGCAGGAACTTTCAAACAGCACAGACCTTTCTATCGCAGCTGCATAACTGGCCTATGTATACCGTGTAGAGGACTTGCTCTTGCGATTTAGACGCTACCCCCACGTTTTGTCGCTGAGCGGGATGGTGAGACCCTTGAAATGAATAAGTTATGCACCACAGAAAGTTCATGACAGCAATGCCAAGTAACTTCTCACTTGTCGCTCGACGTGGTGTGAAACGGCATCTCTGTGCCTTCGTAGAGTTAGCGTACGACGAGCTTTACCGTCTGCAGAACATCTCAGGGCCTAATACTGTCTTTTTGAATGTAATGGCAGTGAATCGTTATAGTCGTTTTAGATGGAAAGAGTGGTACAATAATACCTGTGAGAGAAGCTTCATTTCCAGATCAGCAGTGTGCCTTACAAGAGTGAAGACAAGATTGTCTGAGCGACTGTTTTGTTGCTCGTGAAGGAGCGTGTGTTTCAGCGTATTGTGCCATGACTCCGCATGATGTTGACGTCGCAAATGGAGCAGCTCTTCGGTAGCACGGTGCCCATTCGATCCTTCGACCAGGTAGTATCTCTCCATATACTGCAGCAGCGGTTACATAAAGATACATTCATTTGAATAGTTTTCTTACTTGGACAGCGGCTTCAGCTTCTATTGAATGGAGCCAGGTGATGAAAGCAGCATACTTTTGTTCGAAACGAGCAGGAATAGCCTCGTGGAAAAGCTCACGAAACAATTTTTGGGCTAACTTTGCGTCTTCAGCCTAGAATTTCTCATATGCACATCGACCACAGAATCTAATAACTATATTGACATCTGGGTTACCCTCAGAGCCTCGCTCAATTTCCTTTGGACGCATTTTGATATATGGAATGAACACAGTATTTTTTGTGCTCTACTTTGCGGGAAATTTGAATTGAATGTGCTGTAAAACACATTGGTGTCGTCCGTCATTATATAGCGTGTGTCGAAGTGCGGAATCGATTTCTGAAGCGTAGTATTCAAATGTTCATCGCAATATAATCTTCTAGACCATACCTTGACTAAAGCCAAATAACACGGACAATTCTTCCGAAGTCATCCGATAAGAAAGCAAGAAGACAGCATGGAAATCCTTTCCCGCTATCTGTTGCAACTAGCAATGAAGCAAGGCGAAACTAAACCGTTGCACCCGAATCTCTCCAAGAACTTCTTGCCACTTCTGGTTATCAGTGCTATAAGCCCAAAAGAATAATATGGTGTCGCGCGGCTGCGGTCATCAGAGACTGAGGAAAAAAGGAATAGTGATCACAAAGAAAGCCCATAAGAACAAGTGCATAAAAAAACTGAAAGGAAACAACATAAGAAATGCAAACTGTGTAGGAAACGTACCTGGTTGAGCTCCATTCGAGTGTTCCCGGTGTGCCACTTCGTGGCTATGTTTTCCCCCAA